GGTGAGGGCTGCAGCCTCCTTTGAATTCATGAAGACCTGTCAGTTGTTGTGCAGCAAACAGACTTATTTTGTTGCCCCTAATGGGTTTTTTTTTTTTTTTTTTTTTTGGGGGGGGGGGAGCCATGTAGCAAACTGCTATCCAGTGGACTGGTGAAGGATAGCATTTATCTGTGTGTGTAAGCTGGACAATCTCAACAAGAGTGCAACCAAACACCAGGGTGTCACCAAGTGCTGTCATCCACCGTGTAATATAATGCCTTACTTGTTTACAAGCACTTAGCAATGACAAATATATATATATTTTATTTACTGAAACATTTCTTATGGTCTTACTTCTTGATGTTCTTTTTATTTTTTCTTTATGCAAAAACGAACACTGCATGTCGCTTTTGTGTACAGTAACCATTGTATTTTTCATTGTGGTGGCTGCTGTGTAGTTCTTCAGTCGCCACTTCCATGAATGTATGTGTACGTGCTAAGAAACCCTATGTATCCATGTGTAATGGACTTTCAAGTCTCGACCTGACATTTATTAAATTCACTACATTACTAACTGCTCATGTGTTTTGTTTCTTATAGGCTCTGCTTGCTTTGTTGTAGTTGTTTGTTGTTAGAAGGAACATTTGCGAGGATACTATATAAATGTATACCTTTACATTTATCTAATCTCGTGTACAGACACAGTGGGTGTTAAGTGCAGTAGAGAAGCTGAACCAAACCATAGATGGTCAAACAACTCTGAGGGTAGAAAACAAGACATTATTGCAGTATTATGCCCTCTACTGGGCACAATTAAACTTAAACAATTTCTAAAACATCACATGAGCACTTCTTGTAAATCACTGACCTCTGGGAATAACTGTTGAGCCAACACCGAGCTACAGCTTTCAGATTTTGTTTATTGATTCCTCATTTTAGCAAATCTGGCATTACAGAATTACAGCACAATTCACACAACTAATGCCCAATGGGCAGAAAATTCCTATTTACAAGGGTTGTTTATGACAGGGAGGGACGGAGGAGGAGAGTTGAACAGGTTTTATAAGTGTTTCCTAAGTCACCATCAAAGTTTACAGCTGTAGCAAAACACAATAAATAAAGTAACAAAAATCAACAAACAAGTCAAAAGTGAACCAATGCAGTAAGAATCATTATTTAATGAAGTGTTCAGAGAATTCAGTTTACTTCCAAAACATTTTCCCTTTTTGAATCTACTACACAGAGTAGGAAAACACTACCAGACAAGTTTGTTAGTGCAAGTCTAACAAATGTCGACAAGAACAAGCGCTCTTTTTGGCTCTAAATTTATTGTCGAGATTTCTTTGGAAAGAACCATTATTAAGACTGCCTTTATACAAACTGTACATTCACACGCCCGCGTACAGCACGTGTATTACAAACCTTCGGCAGGGTTGTCCGTTGCTGATATTTGGGTGTGGAGAGAAGGAACTGCTATTGCTCTGTGAGAACAGTCTGCTTTTACACGATCACGTCTTAAAGGTTACATAACTGATATCAAAAGACAAACAAACTTCCCAGCAAAGCTGCGTTGACATGATAAGAGAGTCTCACACTGGAATGTTTAACTTTCCTTTTGAGGAAGCATCTTAATCTTTATATTCCATGTAAACAAATAAATTCTCTTTTAAAAGCTGGGACAGTTGAAGCAATTGAATACTATTGAACATCTCTTTAAAAAGTAGAGTGCAGATTGCAATGCATAATCTAGGAAGGACAATATCTCAAAAATAAATAAAAAGTAAGTAATACAAAATAAATAAGTTACATTTTGGAAATAACTTAGGTGATGGAAATATTTTTGCATGCCTCAGTTCATCAGTGAATGCAAGACATACAGAAGGTTTTGTACTGTATACACGAGCAGACAAATCCGAGAGAGAAATAAAACTCACAATTTGACATTTAACATGCTTAAAAACATCATGTTCCCCCGAAAGTAAAGATGAAAATATCATCTACCAATGACATAAGAGACGTTAAGTTGATGGGAGATCTGTGGTATACCAGTGTTACACTGAATCACATGCCTATCCAGTGAGTGTATGTTGCACACTGTATGTAGTGAATGAAAGCTAATACAATGACAAGGGGCCACATGTGAAACCTTTAACCCCATTTGATACCTCCAAGTACTGAACCTACAGGACAGATGGGTTTTCAATTCAGACAACAGCTCATACAAATAACCATCCAGTCAACCAGACACTGTTAAAAACATCAACAACATGCACCTCTCACTAAAGCACAGGTAGGAATCCAAAATCCCTAAGTCATTATTATTGTATAATATGTCAATTATATATGTGTATATATATATATATATATATTATATATGCATTATAAAATGCATATCTATTGACTTTTGAACATTTATACACTCTTCTTCATGTGGTGAAAGACATCTTTTATCCTTTTATTCCGTTGTATGTCTTAAAAAAATAGTTTAAAAAAAGTCAAATCAAGGAACAGCCAAAGGCCATCCTTCATCTGGACCAACCAAGTGACTGACACTGCCGTGGGATTTCCCTAAAAGAAAATTAAAAGGATCTAAGAAGGATGATAACTTGACTAGCAAACTGATATGCATGTCTATTCTTCATTCGTAAACTTAAAAGAAAAACAATCTTTCAAACGACTCTGTTTGGACGTCAAACGTGGACCGCAACTATCAGTACAAACCACAACACTGGGAAGGACAAGCAATTTCACATGCTCAAAACCACACCCGACAACTTAAACGTTAAAAAAAATTCTCTATCCACAGCAACCAACATATACTTTCAATGGGACTAAAAGTAACACAGCTGATTTGTATCCATTTAGGTCCCAGGTGTTAGTGCTGTGTGGGGGATAGGGTTGGAGGATCCCTCCAATATTCCCCTCCACAGCCTTTTAAGTAAAAACCCAATTGCAGACCCGTCAATGAGGAACGATGGAGCCTTGACTGGCCTTATATAATTCTGTTAAGATACATTATAGTGTGTAAAAAAGAAAGATAAAGACAACTTGGGATTGTTCCTCTGTTATATGTTCTTCAGTCCTTTGACTAAGTTAGCACTATCACATAATCTCTGTATTACTGAAATGAACAAAAACTTTAAGATGATATTTTGGAAAACACCAAATCTTTGGGGAGAGCCGGCTCATGTGGACGGAGCTCTTGGTGTATTGAGAGGGGTGGAGAACCTAAGCAGCCAGGTTGTGTGTCTCTGTATGGCAGTGTTTGTCTGTAATATGTGTATTTGTGTACGCGCAAATGAGAAAGAGAAACGGTGTGTGGATTTTAGGACAGCAGATCGTGTGTGAGTGTGTGGTCATGCTTAGCAAGCACAATCCTGATGGGACCTCTGAGGCTGCTCGGTGAGCTGTGGCCCCTGCTTAGCGCCAGTGACAGTCGGGTCGTTGTTGTCCAGGCTCTCTGTCATCCTCTCACAGATGATGTCCACCAGCCGCTCGAAGGTCTGCTTCACATTAATGTTATCTTTAGCGCTCGCTTCAAAGTATTCGAAACCTGCCAGGAGGGGCGACAGAGGCAGAGAGAGGCTTTGGTTACAGTTATTGTTATAATGTGAAGCTTATCCAGTTAATCCACTTATCTCATCATGTAAGGACACATCAAGGCTACGGTCAGACCAGCAGCTCAAATCTCATTCATTTTTCCTTCCATGTCAGATTTGTGTACATATTTACTTATTTCTTTTTGACATATTTTTGGGGAGCTTTTTTGCCTTTATTTGATAGGACAGCTCAAGATGTATAGGAAAGGGGGGAAGAGAGAGAGAGAAGGGTTGACATGCAGCAAAGGACCCATAGGACTGTTGGTAAATGGGGCATCAGCTGTACCAGGTGAGCAACCAGGGTGCCCTGTGTACGGATTTCTAAATGATATCTATTCGTAAGTCACAAGATCATACTTATCCGACTGAATTAAATCTAACTCAGCCTGACCACTGTGGTTACTCCCCGGACATGTTTCAGAAGAAAGAGCAGAAAATAACACTGAGCAAGTCGAAAAAAAGCAGCTACCTGGCTCTTTGTGCCACTGCAAGTTGCCTTATGAAGACTGTAGTGCTGATTATCAGACCAAACACATGATGCGAGTTCAGACTTATCTTGGCCTGGCTCATTGCATAAGTGATTTACAGTTATTTCAGTCTAAACTGTTGTAACATCAGTTCAAACATGGTGAAATTATGTACTGTGGCAAGTCTAATCATGATGACTTACAGTATGCCAACTGCAGAAACCGGCATTAAAAAGAGATGAAGACAGAACTGAATCAAAATCTTAGACGGTCCCAACATAACCCAAACGTTATGAATCGGACACATTTTTAGAGGCATCATTTATACATCATCACGCCTTATTTAAAGGAACTGGTTCATGATTATATTACACTTTCACTAATGCTCCCAGGAGAGAAAGAGAAATACCATTAGTGGAAAAACCACTAGTCTTGTGAAACCAGCAAATCACTTAGTAAGATAGAGAGAGCAACATTATATGGTACAGTGTTTACAAGCAGTTTTT